GGGAGGGATGGAAGAGTGCACAGAAAACATGGGAATTTGGGGGGAAGGGGGTGCGGAGAGTAGCATAAATATATTTTTCTAAGAAGTATTTTCTATTCTCCAACCAAACACTAGAAATGTTTTCCGGAGAAAGTTTTTCACTTACCCACCAAACAAGGGAAAATAAGTGATAAAACCATTCATTTTCCAGGAAAACATTTTCCTTCATACCAAACACGCCCTACATGTAGTTACTATATAAGCATAATCAACATTTTGTTTGATTGTATTAAACCTTACCTCAGTTCACCTTGGTGCTTATTTAGGATAAAATAGAGAAATCTGATCCTACTTTTCTCGTGGAATTGTTTATTTTAGGAAAAGTAGGATAAAGTTGGAATCACTCTAATTTCTCCTTATAGATAGTATAAATGATATGCAACCAAAGATGTAGTAATGGTCAATGAAGTGGGAGAAGAACTATGAGGTCTCAAGTTCAAATCCCAACGGAGGCAAAAAAACACTAGGTTATTATCTTATCTGTCTAAGCCATGGCAGAGTTACTCGGTACCTATGCCGGTGGGAGGTAGCAGCAGGTACGTGGTGAAATAGTCGATGTGCGCGCAAGCTGGCCTGGACACCACTATTATTTTAAAAAGTATAAATGATATATATCACGAAAACTATGTTATCTTGATCCCGACTAGAGCATCTAATGAGCTCTTATGCAATAGCTGTTATTCTGAAATGGATATTAGGGAGATAACATTTATGAATTGAGTTATATTAAATCAATGGTCAAAGAGGTAAGGAAAAATATCCATGTCCAAGTTAGGTAATTTCTTGAACACGGGAAGTGTACATATCAAAAAGTTGGACTCTACATCATACTCTATATCATGCATTTAATTTACTATATGAGAGATCCACTGTTGCTGATGGTAAGGTACAGGATGTTCATGCTCCATGCACATGTGTTGTTTGCTTGGCTATAAAGTGCTAGTGATCAAATGCACCAGGCGCTTTATACGTTACACTATTGTATTGTGTCATTCATTGGTCAGAATGGGTGGTCTCTTTAAAATAATCGTATTCTAAGTTGCTCGTTCTCGGGTGCGGGTGTCCGATACGGGCACCGATCTAGAGGTCAGATCCTTCATGATCTAAGTTTAAAGATTCGGGGGTATGGATCCAGGTACGGATACGGGTGCGGGAATTCGGCTAAACATAATTCAATTATTTAAAAATAGAGTTATAAAAATATGTCTAAATTATGAGACATTATGTGAAAAACTTACAAGGTATTCCGAGAAGGAGAAAATATTGAACAAGAGTAGAATTTTAGAAGGAGATAAAAGGAAAAGGACTGACATAGAAATTTATATATACAAGGTATTCCATTTTCTTCCATATCACCCTAGCTTTTGATTTGTTTTCAAAAATCATTGTATCTATCCCAAATTTCTCCGTTGATTTTGGTCAAAGTACCCAAAATCGGTTGACCAGATCCGACACGGATCCCACACCCACGTCGTGTCGACACGAGTGCGGCACTGAAAGTGAAGAGTCCGAGCAACTTAGGTTGTATTATTGCTTGAATTGGCTTAATCTGATGAGAGTTAATTCAGTTGTTCGTGAATAGATGATCTGAAGCCGTATAATTCCAGATAATCTTACCTTATAAAAAAAGCCATATAGTTCTAGTTCTAGATATGTACAAGACATTGAGTTTTGGAGCTTTCTCATGCTTTTTACATTTAATGCAAAAATTATTATTTTTAGTTTCGTGCTGTCTATAAGAATCTTTTTTACCCCTCCTAACTACTTTTGTTGGTAGTGCATTATATAGATATGGATTCCCTATACCTGGGAAGATATTCTATTCACCATTGTTTCTTGTTTTCACTCGATAGTTCCAAATTTGCTTGTTTGATTGCTGGGTTGGAACTCAGGAGCTGATGCACAGTGGCTATAGGAAGTGACTTCATTCTGCACCTTGGAGCATCATTTGATTTTCTGCAACTTGTGAACTCCATAAGCAGATATATATGAGCATAAAAAATCTCCTTTTTTTTAATAATAGTAGTGTCCTGGCCAGCTTGCCCGTTGCCTCCCGCCAGTATAGGAATCGGGTAACTCGTTGCACCAAGGCATGGGAATTTTTGTCTATGCTCAGATTTTAACCCATTTCTTTCATGGTTTTCACCAAATTCATTGACCGCTAAGCCACACCCTTGGGTGCTCAAATACTTCCTCATTGTCCTCCATTATCAAAGTCGTTCAAATTCATCGACCGCTAAGCCACACCCTTGGGTGCTCAAATACTTCCTCATTTTCCTCTATTATCAAAGTCGTCGTATTTCTTTGCAGTCAATAATGTTAGTCACCCTCATCAACAATGTTATGGATTGGTAATTTGTTATCCACGGTTTTGGAAGTGGATAATTGGGCAATGCATCAAAGGTTGCACATGTGCTGCCACTAATTTGTCTTTTGATATGCATTATCATCTTAGATGACACAAGTCATAACGGAGTAGTTACTTTGATATGTTATTTATCGCATGCTCTTTACTGGACAAATTCTATTCAAGTTCCGATTACATGATTTTATAACTTTTAGCAGAACCTATGATTTTGGAAGTGGATTCCGTGGGGCTTTTCAATATATGAGGAATTCTCTCCTTGTATCTGCTTACCAGAATTATGAAAATCTTTTCTTTGTCCCCAAAAAGAAAAAGGAATCATGAAAATCTTTTATCCTACCAATCCTGAATCAATCACTTTGACGTAACTCACCACTGCCTTTTGGTGGACTAGCTTCTTTTTCTAAGATTTTTATCCATTACTTTTAGGTTAGTGTATTATTTAGTGAGTTAACATGAAACTTATTGGCAATGAGTGTTATTTTTGTATGGTACTTTATGTGGATTCTTCATAATATGCTTAAATTGGCAAAAATCTGCATGTATCCCTACCGATAGGTACCCCATAAATGAATCGATGAAACATAACCCCCTGCTTGATTCCTTTTCTAAGATGATAAAAAATTCTTCGCTTTTGAATTTGAAGCCAGGTGCGAAAGCTGAAATAATTCCCTTTACATGGATAAAAGTGAGTCTTCAAAAGAAAACTATCCTCTACCTAGAAAAAGGTTTTACTTATGGCATCATCAGAAGAGTGGGATGAATATGGTGTATCTATCAGAATCATAAGCTCCAATCCTTAACTGTCAATCTCCAGTTTGGTTACCCCTGGTCTTGAACTTCCCGGTAGGAATTAGGATTGACAGTGATCACAAGAGCTGTTTCGTTATTTATTCTCTGAATCTACTGGATATTTCTATTTCATTTCTTTTGAAGGATGTGCGCTGTCTATTATCATTTAATTTTTTCGGGGTAATTACATTTTCTAGCCGCCCAAAAAAATTATAGCCGGCAAAGGTATATGTTTTGTATATTAAGTATAAATAATACATATAATATACATATCATATGCATAATCGTTGTATACGTTTCAAAAATAAAATAAAAAACCTGTTGTTTCGTGCTCATTTATTCATTTGCACTTTATTATGGCAGCTCTGCAGCAGAATTAACTTTTTAAATTCTTGATGTACAGAGAATGGGAGGCCAACTCTTAACTTAGAACGCCAGCTGGATCATGATGGGCATCCTCTTGCTATAACAGCTGCAGATGCGGTCACTGCAAGTGGATCACCTTGGAATTGGAGAGAGACGCCTGGAAATGGTTGGTCTTCATGGAAACATCCCTTTTCCGCTTCAAAAATGAAGAAAACATTCCACCTCCCAAATAAATGATTGAATTTAGAATTTCAAATAAACTAGGTACTGAAATGCCATTTTAGAGGTGCAATTATCCAATGCTCCAATTGTCCTTTTGTGGGATTCCTGCATTCTCTTCAATTGTACAGGTTTGCAGCAGACGGAGTATTACTGTTCATGACCTGATGTTGAATACTTTTGTACTGACTACTGACCATCTACCATTTCCGCTTGCTTTTGTTAAGTGGTACCATGACTGTTCAATTGATATTTTTGAAACATAGAGTTCCAATCGTGACCGTTTGATGATAATCCTATACTTTCAGAAGTTGGTTTTGTATTCCCAAGCTCTTTTTTGATTATTCTATTCTTTTCCAGGTGAGCAAAGTAACTCAGCTGAAGGTAGGGTCATTTCAGTCAAGTGGGGTGATTACACAAAAAGAATTGGTATCGATGGGACTGCAGATGCCATCAAGCAAGCCATTAAATCTGCTTTTAGGTTGAGGACAGAGCGTGCATTTTGGTTAGAAGATGAACAGAATATTGTTCGAGCACTTGACAGGGATATGCCACTAGGGAGCTACAGCTTGCATGTTGATGAAGGTAACATCATGCTACTACAAATTTATTACTAGCATTGCCCTTCATTAATATTGTACCTGGCAATTTCGGAAGTTGACTAGACATAAGACAAATGCTATTGATAGGGACGGCAAGAGGACAAGCCGGCAAGGGACCCATACCTGTGCCCGTGCCTCATTTCTACTCCTTGTCGGTGGGACCTATTACTATTGTTGTTGTGTACGTAGAGTAAATATTGTGATGTGTAATGAATGACTTGGCCACCAAATAGCTTCATAGAACAATAGTGAACTGTTTCTATGATTTATTATGTGTATGACTGAATATATGCTTTAATATGCATACACATATTTTATACATACTCAAGGCGTGGATGGCTTGTCCTCATCAGCTACTCTGTCTTTGGTAGGGGCTCCCTGATCTATAAGTCTGTTACAACCTCCTGAAAAGCAGGTTGAACTGGACGCGAAAAGATAAAGGGGATAAAGAGGGCCATTGTCTCCTCAAAATACTTAAGGCTTAGAAGTATGATAGATATAACTGTTGGCCTTGGTATTCAGCATAATACCGTCTAAACTCACTAAATTTATGTAAGAGTTACTTCATCTGCCCTGTTAGCGCTTACATAATGTAGATTAAGCAGTTTACGAATCTCAAGTGCATTTAGATATTGCTTCACAATGAGGTGGCCCCTTTTCCCGCCAAAAGAAAAACGAAAAAAAAGAGAGCCTGATTTTATTCTTGCTTACAGGTCTGACAATAAAAGTTTGCATGTACGAGGAGGCAGATCACTCCTCAGTGCACACCGAGGATAAAACTTTCTACACTGCGAATGATTTTCGTGACTTCTTGTCCCACAGAGGCTGGACATGTTTAAGAGAGTACAATGGGTATCGGCATGTAGATATGTTGGATGAGCTTTGCCCTGGTGCAGTCTACCGAGGTGTCAATTGACGATAATAGGGGATACCCTGTCCATCCACGGCTCGTTGGGGTGACTGCATTTGCCATCTTTGTAAGTAACATGATGTCGGTGCCATCAGAGTGTGTTGATAATGCTGTTCTGGAAGTGTAAATGGTGCAGTGGTAACCTGATATAGTGATATAGTACTGAACAATTTAAATGTACAAGTCAATGAACATGAAACCTTGTTCATATTAGTGTTCCGGATGGTGAAATCTTGTTCTGGAATTCATTTTCATTACATCTCCCATTGGCCTATGCCCGGAGACTAGAGTTATCTAGTATTTGTGCTGATGGGACAACAGAAATCCGAAAGAATAGTCGCAACCATATATATATATATATATAGTTGGGGGGAGGGGTTGAGTTTTAGTAGTCATTATGGGTAGAAAAGCAAAATCTAAAATGCTAAAATAAGTGTAATGAAAACAAAATGGTGTGAGACAATCTATCCTAGATGCTTTTCGACAAAAATATACCAAGTTTGGTATATAGTTGTGCTTCAACGGTCAGTTATACGTACTTGACAAGGACAGTATATTTTATATGTTAAGTATCAAATTCATGGCGAAAATATACTTCTAATGTATTAATGTTTAAGTTTAACAATGCCACTCTTTCCAGATATACATGCAATACACTTGATTCTTTTTCTTATACTCGTTCTCTGTATAAAGAAAATTAGAGAATATAAAACGGTTGATTTTTGCTTATAGATTTAAATATACACTCCTGATAAAGTATAGAGTTAAATAGTACTATAAAATAGTGTCATTGTCTATTTGTTCTTTGTTTGCTAGTCTCAGACAAAAGATAAAAGACGATTCTTAATGTGATCAGCATCCAATCTTGATGTCAAACTCCAGAAATTTCATTGTGGTGCTGTCTCTTTATATTTTGTAAAATTCAAAATTATCAGTCAACAGATTATGGCAAACTTCTTCATCCTCTTATTTTCTGTCTTTTTCCCCCTCTGTATTTCATCCACATCATATGTCAGAAAATTTCTCTTTTTAATGGGAGTTAGTTTTGTGAAAAAATGATTCAAGTAAAGAAAATAAAGCAAATGTGAATAGAAAAGAATAAATATAAGTGTGTAATAGAATACACGTGAGGATCCGTGGCGCAATGGTAGCGCGTCTGACTCCAGATCAGAAGGTTGCGTGTTCGATTCACGTCGGGTTCAAATTCCCCGAAATCATTCGGATCTATCCATCTTTTTTCCTTTTTTTTTTTTTTTTTAATCATTAGAAAACTTTTAGACATGCAAGAGAGAAAGAAATATCTGGATAATAAGCGTTTTTCAATTACTTATAGTAGTATTGGTTAGAAATAAGTTAATAATGAACCATCAGTTAGGGAAAAAGATTAATATTATGGTCCATTTTAAATATTCCTTTCTTTTATTAAAATTGTAGTTGGTCAAAGAAAATTATTTTTTTCTTATCACTAGAAATGATAACGCAACACAAAAATTGCAAAAAGTTTAGATTTTGTAAGTCGTTAATGTTATTTTAGTTATATGATCCTTTTCACAGGAGATCAATAAAAAATTGTACTACTGCCTCAATTTCCAAACCAAGAACGTCTTTATGCAACTTAAATAGTACTTATCGAGATCCCATAGTCGATATTCCATAATAAAAATAGAAGGTTGAAAACCTTATTGGACATTTTCATAAAAGTTGAAGTGTCAACCTTGCATATTTTGAATTAAGAAAACAACCCCAAATTGCAAATTTTGAGCTGCACATCTGTCGGAAATATGCAATTATTCTAATAATAATTAACCCATAAACTCAAATTAACCAGAATCATAACTCACACCAAGAAATAGAGATTACTATCCACACTCTGGACAAATAATTAAGAGTGAGTGCGAGACATGCCACCTTTATTTTGTGATGTTTATACTTCCCAATATCCAATTTACAGAGTTGCAGATTCATACTTTTGTTTTGTAAAAATACAACTTAATAAAATATTAATTGAGAGAGAGTCGTATGTTTAACACTACCCCAGACTGGCACAAATAAGAACTGAAAAAAAGTACGTACTTTTAAATGTGTATTAAAGAGATAACGGGAAGCCACAATATCAGAGCATCCTATGAAAAAAATAAATCTAACATTCAACTTCGTGTCCATTACCCAAAAATCACTTTGACGAGATTTTATAAAACTTTCACCTGAAAAATCTAATATGCTCTTATATTATAAATCCTCTCACTTATGTAAATACCTTCTATAGTATATGCTACATACATATTTTTACCTAAGTATTTTTATTTTATATTATTCTATTATATTTTTATAATATATCCGTACTTTAATTTTCCCATGACACTATTCATACACGAACATATTTTAAAATATAAAAGTGACAAAAAATATTTATCTTAAATAATAAAAACGGATTTGTGTTTAATCAAAAACTTTTAAAATATTCAAAGATTTTGTGTTTAATATTAAGTTTTTAGAGCATAAAATAATTTTTGTGTAACAAAAGAAAGAAAATTAACTTTTGGGTAACGGATTTGTGTTTAATCAAAAACTTTTAAAATATTCAAAGATTTTGTGTTTAATATTAAGTTTTTAGAGCATAAAATAATTTTTGTGTAACAAAAGAAAGAAAATTAACTTTTGGGTAATGAATGACCACACACGAAATTTACTCCTTAAAATGCGCTCCTCTTTTCGAGAGACTAGAGAGGAAAAAAACACATGCCTTATTAGAGGTGTTCGTCGATTGGTATGGTACGTTATTTAGACATTTCGGTGCGGTATTTTCGGTATTCAGTTTCTTAAAATGTTATACATACCGTACCTAATTAAATTCGATATGGTTCGGTTTTTCTCCTTTTGGATTCGGTTTATTCGGTTCGATAAATTCTATTTATTCGATTTGAATCATAGAATCATAGATTGTAATATTCTTAATTAAAGTACTCAAAAGTACAAAACTAAGAACGTATGTTGACAAAAGTTTTGTCCAAAACTAGCAACAGAGAGAGAAAACCGAACATAAAGGAATAAATTTGATCTTATACTTGCTTAGAATTAATTGATGAACTTAGAGAATAAAGAAAAGTAAAATTTTAGTTTTTTTATATTTATGATATAATTAATAATATGTGTATTGTGTAATATATTCTTAATTAAAGTACTCAAAAGTACAAAACTAAGAACGTATGTTGACAAAAGTTTTGTCCAAAACCAGCAACAGAGAAAGAAAACTGAACATAAAGGAATAAATTTGATCTTGCTTAGAATTAATTGATGAATTTAGAGAATAAAGAAAAGTAAAATTTTAGTTTTTTTATATTTATGATATAATTAATAATGTGTATCGTAATATAATATATATTTTCAGTACGTTATCGGTATTTCGATATTTCATTTTAAAATACCATACCTAATACCAATTTTTTTTAAAACTTAAACCAAATATCATACCGAATACCAAAATATCGAAAACCAGCAACAGAGAGAGAAAACTGAACATAAAGGAATAAATTTGATCTTGTGCTGCTTAGAATTAATTGATGAATTTAGAGAATAAAGAAAAGTAAATTTTAGTTTTTTTTTATATTTATGATATAATTATATGTGTATTGTGTAATATAATATGTATTTCGGTACGGAATCGGTATTTCAGTATTTCATTTTAAAATACCAAATATCATACCTAATACCAATTTTTTTTAAAACTTAAACCAAATACCATACTGAATACCAAAATATCGAATACCAAAATTTTCAATTTTCAGTTTCGGTACGGTAATTCGGTATTTACCAAATTATGCACGGCCCTATGCCTTATAGATGAGGAGCTCGGTGTTGGTTTTCCCTGTTAATCTCAGAACTTTAGCATCAAAGATGTTTCAAGACAAAACAAGTTCACACAAAGAAATTGATCTTGGATACAACTTCAAGATTTACACAGTCTAACATATAAAATGTGAATCAATGATTCACAGCATCAACTCATTAAAGAAAAAGGAGGACGGTTTAAGCCTCATCCCATTCATCATTTTTATATGAAACCAAAGTGTCAACCTTGTGAATCTGCATAGAGAAAACAAAAATCAAATTAGGGTTCCAAAATATCCAAGGCTTCAAAATCAAGCAGCAGATTGCTCCTATACCTTGGTGTCAAATGAATGCAGTTTAACCATATGTGGATTTGCAATCAGTTTAGGATCACTCTCAATCCAAGTGAATGGAACTGCAACATCTGTATCAGTGTATGCTAACACATCAAACACACCTATGGCAAACACAATGAAACAAGGATTGTGTCATCCAGAAAGTTCCAAAGAAACATTGACATTGTATTTCTAAGCACAAATGATGCTTACATGGTTCCTCAAGGCAAGGCAAAAAAGTGACGCTTGAAATAATTTGCCTCATAATTGCTTGAATTTCCCTCATTATTTCTTTGTCACTTTTCTCCCTTGAAACACTGATCCAAATAAAAGTTAATTAATGAAGGATCCAACATGCACTTTCTCCAACTACGTCTTAATTCCAAACTAGTTGGGGTCGACTATATGAATCTTCATTGTCCGTATCACTCCATTTAAGTTCATATAAGTCCAATATTATATAAGACAAAATTCAAACAAAAAAAAAACATTAGAAGCTCTCTATATTTCTACCGCCATTGAAGCCTCCAACATACACTTTTACCAGTCCACAAAATTTACCAGAGATCAGAAAATGAGATCAACGTACCCTTTCTCAACAACCTCGCTGTCGGTTTCGACACTGAAATTCCACCTCTCTAGTACCTCACCAGAGGCCTTGCTCATGATTACAAGAACCATCCTTTGTAGCTTTCCAGCTTCCAACCACTCTACATGAACACAATCATAGAGAAAAGAATCACTTCCCTACCCCTAAATACCAATCCACAACTTTGACAAAATTCTATAACTTACCAGAGAGTTGGGCAGTCAAATTGGAAATGAAGGTCTTGACACCTTCATCTTGAGTAAGTAACATCTGCAGACCATATTTCTTCACCTTCGCAAAACTTTCTTCAGGATATACTCCTCTATTGTACAAAATGCTATAAAAACAACCCCCCGTCCAAAGGAAAAAAAAAAACAAAATCAACATTCCAACAAAATCATAAATAAAAAAACACCAATCAATCAACAATGCCCAATGAAAAACGAGTTAGGATCCATCATATTAATTGTCTCTATCCATTTTAAATTTCCAAAGCAACTAAATAATTTATCTTTTAAGTCAGACTAAGGGTTTTCTAAAACTAAAGATTATTAAACCCCCATCCCCAAATCAAAACCCCCAAAGATATCAGCATTCCGGAAAAAGAAAAAAGACACCTAAATGAAGAACACGAAGCATTTTCAATCAATCAACTAATTGGGTTCTGCCATATGAATACTATATCCGATGCACTCTATTCAAGCCAATTTTCATTCAAATGCAGGTTGATAATTAATTTTTCAAGGCAAATTAAGGGTTTTCTATAGTTAAAATTTATCTAAATTCTCGCACTTATATACTTAAACTAACAACGTGCAAGTCTCTAATTAACTGAAAAAAGACATAGACAAAGATTTGACGAAATGGGGTTTCTTAAATCTTACCTATTTGCTGCATAGCCAAAAAATTCACCGACAATTGCTGCTGATCCGCGAAGCGTGATTATGTCCTTGGTGGCTGTTCTTGATGCCATTATTCAAAATCTGAAGTAAAAAAGGTTAAGATTTGAATTCTAGGTGAGTTGTGAGAGTAATGGATTTAGGGTTTTATTGAAAATTGAGAAGTACCAACGGCTAGTTCTTGGAAATTGACGAATAAGACGGTCCAAGTGCTCCTTTATGTTTTTTCTTTTTCCTTTTTAAATTTTCCACTGTACACTAACCGTTACAAATAGGAGTGGAAAATTATTTGGGNATATATATATATTTGGTGGGGTTGGGGAGGAGGATGAGCAAGATTACATACATATAGGCTCTTCTCAAGATTACCAGCTATGAATTAAAATTAGACTACTTACCACTAGATTACAAAGGGGATTGATTAGTAGAAATTCACCTAATATAATGGTATTATTGTAAGTGCTCACGAGATGGATTTGTCTATTTATGAAAACTGTATATTTTGTCTCTTAGGGTCATGAGGTGAGGAGTACCATATATTTATCAATGGCCAATAAGTAGACCAGAGTAAAAGAGTAGCAATTATAAAGGAGCTCGTAAAATTTGGTGTTGTCCAAAAAAGGGCAATGGCAGAAGAAAGAGGCCAGAGCTAGGTGGTCCTCTAATAAATTGAAATCCTATACAATCTGCCATAAAATGAAATTGTCAAGGAAGACATACATTTTTGTTTTTTTTTTGGGTCAGTCAATATGTACCAATGTCGACACAATGTGCTCATTTGTTTCCTCATAGTGTTAACATTCTAGGTGAATTTAATTTAGTTATTGGCTTAAGCCAAAATCAAAACCAAATCGACTGCTAGTGTATTTATTTGTTCTAGTAGATAGTTTGCCCTTTTGTTCAAGTTACTAATCTTATTTTTTATGGACTGTTACTTATAACTATCTATTATAAAAATATAAACTATAAAACCATTTGGACTAGGTCGTCTAAATTGTGATGAATTGAGATCTTTCTAGAACCCAATTCCAAGCACCTACCCATTGATAAGCCACCTATAATAATATAATTAAAGAAAGAAAATCAAGAAGATTCAAAATGGCGGCATTGGGTGGAAACTATATAGTAGCAAAAGTTGTAGATGAGTTGGCTGGTACGTTGTTTAGGAATATAATTTAGTCAATTTTCTCAACACGAGTCATAGCCATCAAAATCGATCCCTTCACTAAGCTAAGTGACTTGGAGTTATCCTCTCGCAAAACCTTTTCTTGTGAGAAATCTTTTATGGGGTAAGTTGAGGTTGGCTAGGATTTATCTTCTCGAAAGTTCTTCTTGAGATATATGTTTATCAAGATAAGTGTATTCTCTCAGAATAATAAATTTTTGTGGTCCGACTCTTCCCCGAACCCCGCGCATAGCGGGAGTTTAGTGCACCGAACTGTCTTTTTTAACTTTTAGATTAATTGGTTACACTTTTAGCATGGTACTAGAGCTAAGTTTAAGTCTCATCGCTACCAATTTCAAAAAGAATTTTAATATGATTTGTGCATATATCCCGAGGACATCATTTAGTAATTATAAGTAAATGCTCGTTAATGTTTTGAATTTTTAAATGATAAAGTCACATAAATCAACAAATTGAGAGTTGTGCATATATTTAACAAAAATGTAGTTAGGTAATTAACAGTTCCATTTCCATGAGGAAAAAATTGTGAAACCCTTGGACAAAACAATATTCAAACAAATACTTAATTCCCAAGTAGTTTTTCAAACAAATACTTGAGCAAGAGAAATGAAGAGTCAACCTTGGCAGAGATTTTGATGCCCCTAAGAGAGTACTCCATTAGAATAACCCCATTTTGTACAAAAAGTTAAAGGAGATGCTGACCTTTTGCAAGTGGGAAGCATGGTAAAGAACTGCTACTTTATATTAAACTTTGTCTCCTTCAAATGAAAGAGTACTCTTAAGTCTTGTTTAAATCCAAATCAAGCTCCAGGTTTTTAATTATATAACCTTCTTGTCTGATTATTAGCAAATGGTTCTCCATCATAGTTATCTATAGTTGCTGCAGTGGTTGTTATATAATACTGGAAACAATGCAGTATTCAGGGATAATGGTATCCTATTCAACTTTACACAATTTATCGATGCAAATTGAATGGTTTAAATGAATCAATAATACATATATATATAAAATTAGTAAATTTGTGTAAAGCTTTTAGTGATGAATAACTTTCATGAACAGAGAAAAGTGCCTAATTTTAGGGTACTATGATATCCTATCATGGATATTTAACTAAAAAGTGAATATTATCAGCTTTTTTCATATCACCTTAAGGGACAATATTAATTATTAAGCTTTTGTCATATCACCTAGCTTATTCCATACGGGGCGAAGCCGGATAATTACACTATATATATATATATATATATAT